TAAACAAGAATAATAAAGTTTTAACAAAGAATAAATAAAGGTCCATTTTATGAATTCTGAAGGTTTCTGCCTATGGCTCCTTATAATATCTGTGATATTGTTTTTTTTAATTATAACTAACTTATTAATAAAATTAGAACATTTTAGAATCTGGAATCAGCTTCCATTTTCAAGCAAAAAAGGAACAGGACAGAAACCCTATTTGTTGGACCCCTGGCTGAAGGAGTCCAGGTCTGAGGCTATCTTTCATACCTGAAAATGGCAGCAGAGTCCAGGTTCAGAAAAAATATTGTAACTGTATTTTTAAGGTAGATATTGATAGAGTCAAAGAAAACAATTTTACTATTTTCATGTGCCAGCATAAAATGTAAAATTCAAAATGTTGCTTTATCAGTTATTAAAATTACCTGACAAGTTCATTAAATTAAAAACGACTTTCAAATATGGAATAAATAAATAAATACTGCCTTTGAACAAATATTTAAATTTGGCTTAACTGAAATTACTACACACGTTATGAATAGTAAAGATTACAAGATTTGAGAAAGATTCTGATTAGATAACTTCAAACGGAACAGACTGTTAAGTTGAACTGTGCACAATTGGAAAGTTATTATAAATGATATTATGAAATGGAGTGAGGATGTAAATTGAATTGAATGAAATTCACTCCTTCCAATATCCAATCAATGGTAGGCTTCTGTGAAAACACTTGCGAATGAAGGGGATATATAATAGACAATAATTTGTTGAGTATCCCAATTACTAGATATTTTGAGAGAACTCTCTTTATAGTGTCACATAACTAATGGCTAACTCTTTGCATCTCCTTAAAAATTTCAATTGATTACATTTCAACACATTTTAATATGGTTCACACACACTACAAATTAAAGTTTATATATTCAATGTTGGAGCAGGAACTCATGAATTGCAAAATATTTTTCTAAATATTTGTTACAATACACGTTTAAAAGCAAGTAAAGTGAAAGCAGTAAACACATAGGCAATCTTGATATCTGCATTTGCCTGATGAATAATTTAAATACCTTGAACATGAAAATGATACTGATTTTATCACACTCCATACACGATTTACCCATTCACAGAATTCTATTAATATGTACAAAATCCATACAAATTTCAACATGAAATTGTTGGTAGTTGTTGCTGAATGTGTACTAGTAAGTTAATTCAATGTGTCATGAAGGGGAGAACAGTGAAACTGTAAGAAGACAAAAGAGTACGAATTTGGACAAATCTGCTCCAGCTCAGCTTTGCTAACTCATAACAGAATCAGCAGGTACGTACTTTTTTCATTGGACAACAACAAAGTCTCTGAGCAGAGTCTAGGTTGACAGGTGAGTAGTAGCTCAGCTGGTAATGGAATTACTTTGCATTTATGATATCCAACAGTTTTATTATAATATTCACAACAGCACGCAACTGATCCAAATCCTAAACGAAATAAATCTGATCCACTTCTTCATAACTTATTTATATATAACATATTATAATATTATCCTCCCATCTATGCTTCTCTCTTCCAAGAGGTCTCTTTCCTTCATCTTTATTAATAAATGCATTTTTCATCTCTCAGACAGGATGAACGCCCACCGAAACCGTCTTCCGTAATCAGATCACCGTGACAACATTTATGAAGTTCTTACGTACATAGATTTCCTGAGAAAAATATCACTTACTCCCTCTTAGGCACAAATAATCTCCTCAGTAATGTGTTCTCAGAGACTTCTTTTCCTTTAAATTACTTATCTCCAGTTTCATTCTCAGTCGTCACAAGTATGCGAGAACCAAGAATGCCCACATGAATCACAATGACCAAACATTACCCAGAGGCAGAACTGTCAATTCACTATTGCGATCAGTTAATATATATGATATTTTCAATGAAAAGATTTGAATACATAACATGCAGACATCCAATGATTGCACAAATTTTAAAACCTATGAAAGTGTTTAAGTACTACCCATTTAATTTGATGGTCTATTATTACACCAATTCTCTTTGGATACAATTAAAAATGTGAATTTAACTCACAGGATGTGGCACTGAACGTCATCCTTCAATCTCAACTACAATAAATCATTGATAACACAGCACAGTTTCTAAAATAAGGTGAGTAATTACCAAAATCATACATCAACTGATAAAATTATTGATATTACAGAGTCAGGAGGAAGAAGCTACTGCTTTCGAGACACTAACACCTGTTTGCATTGCAGATAAAGCAAACTCACACAAAGGAAGACACGATGAACATCTATATTTCATGCATCATCATTGGGTTCTTATCATCCGTTCTCACTGTGAGGAGCAACATCTTGACCTTGGAGCAGCTTCACACAGTCCTCTGTGTGGAAACCATCGCACACAGATATTTCACAGCGGGGCAGCCTCTCATCGTGTCACTGCCTGCCACAGCGGAAGAATCAACAAGCAGGCAACTTATTCAAACTACGCCCCACAAGGACGATTTACAATTGGTGAACTTCATGCTGCAGAAACAAATCTCTTGAGAATCAGGTAGAATATCTCAAATACAGCGCATCATGGAACCCTCGCGGACGGTTTGTCGTGGTGATGACTGGCCACAGCGGTCAACAACTGCCCCAAATAGTAGCTACTCATGTATGCGCCATTCTGTGGCAGATGAGCAAAATTGTCAACGTAGTGGTTCTGATTCCAGGCCAAGAAGCAGATCCTCCTCTGACTACTACGGGCAACAAACACAGAAGAGGAACTAATCTGCTGAACTTGTACACTTGGTTTCCATACCACATGGGAAGTTGCGGAGAAGTTGGAGATGCAGTTTTGCAAGTTGAGTGGGTTTGTGAGCACAACGGAAGATTTTCAAGAGATGTGAACTTGTATCCCGAAAGAGTACCAAAAGATCTTATGGGTTGTCCCATTAGAGTAGCATCTGCAGGAATTGAACCATATTTGATTTTGAACGGCAATTACACACAAAAAGATGGAAGTGTTGAGTACAAATTAACAGGATTATCTGTGGAGATACTTCAAGTGGTGTGTAAAAAAATGAACTTGACAACAATTTTTCTTTCTCCTTCTATTGGAATGGAAGAAAACCCTTATATGAAAGAGGCTGCTGACTTACAAGACGATATATCAGATGTTCTTACTGGTGTAGTTCCACTCACATCATTTACTATGTCATCATTCTTTGATCCAACAATCCCCTTCACACATACACAACAATCCCCTACACACATTCGGAAGTTAAGATGCTTGTCCCTTGTCCGAAACCTATTCCTGGAATGGAAAAGATAATGACAACTTTCTCATTATCTGTGTGGTTGACAATGGGTCTCGTGTTCGTTCTAACCACTTCTGTGTTCTGGTTTGTAGCAAATGGTCCCCACGTATCCACATTTAAGGAGTTAGAAATTTACAAGTCCATATCACTCTGTTTCTACAATGCCTGGGCTGTCTTCATGGGCGTATCTGTTACACAGCTGCCAACTACTTCAAAGCTGAGGGCTTTCTTTTTTATCTACGTTTCTTACTGCTTTGCTATGAGCACTGTTTTCCAAGCGTTCTTTGTCTCTTATCTGGTGGAACCAGAAGCTGGAAAGGAGATTAAAACCTTTGATGAACTCCTAAAGTCAGACATAGCCTATGGTTATCATTCAGCCTGGAACTATATTCTGCATGGAATAGTATATCCAGAATTCTCGAAATTTCATGAACGTAAGGAAACAAGGAAAGATTGTAATGATTTTCAAAAATGTGTTCAAAAAATGATAACTCAGCATGACAGAGCTACAATGGTTGGTATAGTGTACAGTACATACATTGCTAGTGAACTGGGGATTGCTGATCCAAGTACAGTAATCTGTTCGTTTGACGAAAACCTCATTTATGTAAGTATAATTATGCTTTTAAAAAAGGGGAGTCCATTTTTGGACATGTTCAATGTGCTCATAAGACGGAGTTTGGAAGCTGGGCTTCAGGAAAGACACTGGTCAGAACTGAAGCATCAAGCCTCTTTAAGGGGCGGAGACAGATTAAAGGAAGAGAGTAACATGTTTGTCATCTTTTCTGTTTCTCATTTGACTCCAGCATTTGTTGTGCTTATTTCTGGAAATATCTTGAGCTTTGGAGTGTTTGTTATTGAATTAATTCACAACTGGTATTGGAAGAAAATTAATAAGGGCACTGGTACTTCTATAAGCTGCGTGGCGGGTTTTGACAATAAAGTGTGAGTCCCAACCTGTTACACTTTTATACTTTTGCTGTATTCAATAGAACTGCAATACATATAGAGTGTATATATAGCAGATTCTAGTTGCACAGCATTAATGAAAACTGTGATGAATTTGTTTAACAGAAACATTACTGAAACCCCTTGCAATTCCTGTATTTAGTGGCATTAATACGTTTAACACAAAGCACAAGAGTTAGAATTTACGCACCTTAAAGGAAATTAATTCCAAGTGTTTCTTGTACATAATGACTTGACTTTTGACTCATTCTTCCCCAGATATGGCCCATTATGCTTTGAGCCATATTGTGAAGGAGTTGAAATTTGAATGGCACATCAGTTACAGTACACATTATGTTCACATCCCTTCATTGAACCTACTATTCTAATGTTCTGGATAGCTGCCTACCTCAGACTTCTTGTAAAATGTAGACTCCTAATGACATCTTCTGGACATGCATATTCATCATCAAATCATGATTTTATATTCAAATGTCATTAGAAGACTGAATAAAAAGCATGAATTCTTTTAAACTAAAAATATATTACGGGGCTGGAACTGGTCAAAAAAGGGAATAAGTTATCTGTTAGACGACGCTGTTAATACATATTGAGGGACGCTAACATCTCATGTGTGAGAGTGTCAAAGCATTTTGTCAATAATACAATTTACAATTCTGGGTTCAGTAATTCAAAACAGCTTTTGGCTCACCATAAAATAATGCCACTATAACGTAACTTGGAAGTTCTATTTGAGTAAATGGTTTAAATAAACTTTCAAGAAAACTAAGTTTTTAACATAGAAGATACTAAACCCCATTTTATGTTTCAGCATAAAATATGTTTCATAATTGTAAACATAGAAAATAAAGTTTTAACAAAGAAGAAATAAAGCTCCTGTTTATGAATTCTGAAGGTTTCTGCCTATGGTTCCTTATAATATCTGTGAAATTGTTTTTAGGACTTATAACTAACTTATTAATAAAATTACAACATTTTAGAAGCTGGATTCAGCTTACATTTTCAAGCAAAATAGGAATAGTACAGAACCATATCTTTTGGGTCACTGGTTGACGAGTGCAGGTCTGAGGCCACTTTTTTACCTCAAGATGGAAGCAGAATTAAGGTTCTGAAATGTTGTAACTGTATTTTTAAGGTAGATAACTGACAAAGTCAAACAAAACTATTTCACTAAGCCCAATTTCATGTGCCAGCATAAAATGTAAATTCAAAATGGTGTTTTATTAACTATTTAAATTACCTGACAGCTTCATTAATTTAAAACAGACCTTCAAATATGGAATAAATAAATAAATACTGCCTTCGAACAAATATTTAAAATGTGGCTTAAATAAAATGACTATATACGTTATGAATAGTGCGTATTACAATATTTGAGAAAGATTCTGATTAGATAAGTTCAAACGGAAAAGAATGCTATGTTGACGTGTGCACAATTGGAAAGTTATTACGATGGATATTAAGAAGTTGAGTGAGGATGTGAATTAAAATGAATTAAATTTACTCCTTCCATTATCCAATCAATGGTGAGCTTCTGTGAAAACACTTACGAATGAATGGGATATGTAACACACAGATAAGTTGTTAATCATCTCAGGGACTACAAATTTTGTGAGAATCTCCATATAATGTCACATAAGTAATGGCCAATTATGTGCATCTCCTTAAAAAATTCAATTTCTTACATGTCATATATTTTAATAAGGCTAATAAAATTTCTTTTTTCTAAATTTTTTAAATTAAAAGTTTAAAAGCAAGTGTAGTGGAAGCAGTAAATAAATAAGCAATCGTGATATCTACATTTGCCTGATGAATAATTGAAGTATTTTTGACATGAAAATGAAACTGATTTTATCACAGTCCATACACGATCCACCCATCGACCGAATTTCTATTGATACGCACAAAAGCCATACATATTTAAGCATGAAAATGTTGGTGGTTGTTTCTGAATGTGCACTAGTAAGCTAATTCAGTGTCAATGAAGTGTGTCATGAAGGGGAGAACAGTGAAATTGTAAGAAGACAAAAGAGTAAGAACTTGGACAAATCTGCTCCAGCTCAGCTTTGCTAACTCATAACAGAATCGACAGGTACGTACTTCTTTCACTGGACAACAATCAAGTCTCTGAGCAGAGTCTATGTTGACAGGTGAGTAGTAGCTCAGCTGGTAATGGAATTACCTTGCATTAATGACACCCAAAAGTTGTATTATAATATTCACAACAGCATGCAACTTATCCAAATCCTAAACCAAATAAATCTGATCCACTTCTTCATAACTTATATATTTAATAATATATTTTAATATTATCCTCCCATCTATGCTTCTGTCAACCAAGAGGTCTCTTTCCTTCATCTTCACTAACAAATGTATTTTTCCTCTAAGACAGGATGAACACCCACCTAAACCGTCCTACGTAATTAGATCACCGTGACAACATTTATGAAGTTCTTACGTACATAGATTTCCTGAGAATAATATCACTTCCTCCCTCTTAAGCACAAATAATCTCCTTAGTACCGAGTTCTCAGAGACTTCTTTCCCTTTAAATTACTTATCTCCAGTTTCATTCTCAGTCGTCACAAGTATGCGAGAACCAAGAATGCCTACATTAAGCACAATGACCGAACATTACCAAGGGGCAGAAGTATCAATTCACTACTGGGATCAGTTAATATATATGATATCTTCAATACAAAGTTTTGAATACATAACATGCAGACATCCAATGATTGCACAAATGTTAAAACCTATGAAAGTGTTTAAGTACTACCCATTTAATTTGATGGTCTACATACAGAATTATTGAACCAGTTCCATCTTGGCACAATTCAGCATCTCAATCCCTTTTCACTATTTCATAATTATGATTGTAATTTGAATCTCAACTACAATACATCATTCATATCACAGCTCAGTTTCTAAAATAATGTGAGTAATTACCAAAATCATACATCAACTGATAAAATTATTGATATTACAGAGTCAGGAGGAAGAAGCTACTGCTTTCGAGACACTAACACCTGTTTGCATTGCAGATAAAGCAAACTCACACAAAGGAAGACACGATGAACATCTATATTTCATGCATCATCATTGGGTTCTTATCATCCGTTCTCACTGTGAGGAGCAACATCTTGACCTTGGAGCAGCTTCACACAGTCCTCTGTGTGGAAACCATCGCACACAGATATTGCACACCAGGGCAGCCTCTCATTGTGTCACTGCCTGCCACAGCGGAAGAATCAACAAGCAGGCAACTTATTCAAACTACGCCCCACAAGGACGATTTACAATTGGTGAACTTCATGCTGCAGAAGCTAAACGAGGGGACAAGATGGCCAATTGAACTATTTCGACCCAACGAAGATGAGATCGCGGACGCAGCAGTTTTACATCACAGCTATATTCTGTTTGTGTGGTTGGAGGAGGAAGCGAGTCTAAACAAATCTCTTGAGAATCAGGTAGAATATCTCAAATACAGCGCATCATGGAACCCTCGCGGACGGTTTGTCGTGGTGATGACTGGCCACAGCGGTCAACAACTGCCCCAAATAGTAGCTACTCATGTATGCGCCATTCTGTGGCAGATGAGCAAAATTGTCAACGTAGTGGTTCTGATTCCAGGCCAAGAAGCAGATCCTCCTCTGACTACTACGGGCAACAAACACAGAAGAGGAACTAATCTGCTGAACTTGTACACTTGGTTTCCATACCACATGGGAAGTTGCGGAGAAGTTGGAGATGCAGTTTTGCAAGTTGAGTGGGTTTGTGAGCACAACGGAAGATTTTCAAGAGATGTGAACTTGTATCCCGAAAGAGTACCAAAAGATCTTATGGGTTGTCCCATTAGAGTGGCATCTGTAGGAATTGACCCATTTGTGATTCTGAAAGACAATTTCACACAAAATGATGGAAGTGTTGAGTACAAATTAACAGGATTATGCGTGGAGATGCTTCGAGTGGTGTGTAAAAAAATGAACTTGACAACAATTTTCCTTTCACCTTCTATAAGTTTGGATTCAGAATTATATCTTAAACAGGCAGCTAACTTAGAAGATGGTACAGCTGATGTTCTTACTGGTATAGTTCCACTACTACCATTAGCTATGTCATCATTCTTTGATCCAACAATCCCCTACACACATACCGAATTTAAGATGCTTGTCCCTTGTCCGAAACCTATTCCTGGAATGGAAAAGATAATGACAACTTTCTCATTATCTGTGTGGTTGACAATGGGTCTCGTGTTCGTTCTAACCACTTCTGTGTTCTGGTTTGTAGCAAATGGTCCCCACGTATCCACATTTAAGGAGTTAGAAATTTACAAGTCCATATCACTCTGTTTCTACAATGCCTGGGCTGTCTTCATGGGCGTATCTGTTACACAGCTGCCAACTACTTCAAAGCTGAGGGCTTTCTTTTTTATCTACGTTTCTTACTGCTTTGCTATGAGCACTGTTTTCCAAGCGTTCTTTGTCTCTTATCTGGTGGAACCAGAAGCTGGAAAGGAGATTAAAACCTTTGATGAACTCCTAAAGTCAGACATAGCCTATGGTTATCATTCAGCCTGGAACTATATTCTGCATGGAATAGTATATCCAGAATTCTCGAAATTTCATGAACGTAAGGAAACAAGGAAAGATTGTAATGATTTTCAAAAATGTGTTCAAAAAATGATAACTCAGCATGACAGAGCTACAATGGTTGGTATAGTGTACAGTACATACATTGCTAGTGAACTGGGGATTGCTGATCCAAGTACAGTAATCTGTTCGTTTGACGAAAACCTCATTTATGTAAGTATAATTATGCTTTTAAAAAAGGGGAGTCCATTTTTGGACATGTTCAATGTGCTCATAAGACAGTATTTGGAAGCTGGGCTTCAGGAACGACACTGGTCACAACTGAAGCATGAAGCCTCTTTAAGGGGCAGAGACAGATTAAAGAAAGAGAGTAACATGTTTGTCATCTTTTCTGTTTCTCATTTGACTCCAGCATTTGTTGTGCTTATTTCTGGAAATATCTTGAGCTTTGGAGTTTTTATTATTGAATTAATTCACAACTGGTATTGCAAGTAAATGAAATAAGGGCACTGGTGTATCAAGAAGTTCGGCACGTTTGAGAACGTGGCATGAATATCAGCTCATTATATATCCATGCTTGTATTATTTACTTTAAACTACCCTGCAATGAAATTATGTATTCATAGCATGTATATTGCACATATTAGTTATGGAACATTAAAAAATTTATGTGTGTTTAAAGAAAAGAATTCCAAGTGGTACCTGTATATTGTGTCTGATTCTTCTTGAAGCTGCCACATGTTTGCATGCAATATTGTGAAGCTGTTGATTTTTTTTGGGGTGGGGGTGGGGTTTATTTATGCTTGAACACTATGCTCTCTGGTATAGGAGCCATTATCAATTCACAAGGTTCAAGGCCATGGAAGTACTACCCCTCTTACAGCATAGGAGGGCGCGGCGGTGTGCGGGCGCGAGCCCACCTGAAACCGTCGCAATGTGGTGAGAACTACTATTGATTGTGACTTACAGGTCATCCTCTTGATGAGAGCAATGACCTTCTCTGAAATGTTGGTCAATATCTACGAGACTGCATGGTGCTACATTCCAGAACACATTCAACCATCCTCAGAATTAATTAGGACTGTTCACACACATTAACTATTTATTTAGAATATCACCCCAACTACTCCAGCAGTAGAACTTTTTATCCTTGCCACAGATTTGTAAGATCAACATCATAACTTTCAAGTAGCATTAGCATTCATCCACAAATACAAATATATGGTTTCTAAATGTTCAGTGAGGCATTAAACTATCCCTATTGAGCAGAGTCCTTGATGAAAAGCTAGTATTTTGTCACTATTAATGAATCACTTCCATGTTTAGAGCCCAAACGTTTATTACAGTGTTCACAACAGCCTGCTCAGTGAAGCATTACAATTAGTAATTGATAATCAAGGCTCAAGTTACATAAAACATGTAATAAACTACCAATCAGACACTTCACAGATAAAATTATTTCTAGTTTCCAACAAAAGCTACTTTTTAATAACATGTGGCAGGTCATATTTACCACGAACACATCTGATCTTAACTCCAGGCACATCTTGACATCGTCCAACACGGCAAAGAACTATGTTGTGTTCCTGCAGATTATGCCCAATTCCTGGTACATAAGCCACCATCTCCTTGCCGCTACTCAGTCGTACCAACACACAC